TCCCTATTGTTAATATCTACTGAATTCAATCCAATTACATCCTCTGAACAAGTTGAATCTGTAGGGAAAATGAAGCGGCAAACCATTGTGCTTGTCTTCTGCTTCCATTTATATTCCAATTTTTCACACGAAGTACAAAAGAAGAAATAACTATTGATAAAAATTGATACTTTCCCCTTGGAATACGGAAATTAAACAAGGCTGTATTTTCTTTATTTAATATAACAAAACTCAAATTTTTGGAATATTACCTGGTAAAACTAAAACCTCTATACAAGGTTAGTCTTGTTGCATTGTGTCTATGCGTTCAAGAGAAACATCAGCTATAAAGAAAATATAGTAAATGTGACATAAATATGACATGCTGGTTTCCATGGAATCATTTTGTATATACCAGTGCACTTAACTTGTAGTAAATATTAATTTACCAAAGTTTTATTCAAATTGAGGACTATCGCTTTCCATCAAATTTTTGCGCTTATAGAGAGTGGCTCTTAACTTACAAATTAAAGAAAAATACACCGTACTTACTTATGCAGAATGCAGGCAGTTACTATATTGTATAACTTTAATTCTTGGTAACACAATGTTTAAAATATAATGTAACAAAGCAACGAGACTTATTATTATGTTTACTTGGTGTTTCAACCAAATTAAAGATGCTAATTGCGATAAAAATTTGCACAAATTTTATATACCCATAAACATACTCTTTAAAAAAAATTAACAAATGAAAAAGGTGAAGATAACGAACAGTGACCGATCTCCAAAAATCTACTAATACCAATACAATTCTGTGAAAAGGGCATAAAACACGGACCCTTGCAAATTTCAGAGGTTGGATCAGGTGTTTAGGAGGAGTAAATATCTTTTTTGTTATTTTTTTAATGAAAGAATTGTACTTAGTATTACACACAATTCAATATCAGTGTCTTGACATCAAAAAGTGACCTTGATTTGGACGATCAACCAATGGGGGAAATGTATGACCATCCCAGTCACTTCTGTCATTGACAAGATTTTATAGATTTTTCATTCATTGTCATATTGTAAATTTTAATTAATGTATGCAATCTATAACGAAGGTATATTGAACAATTTTGAATAATTCTAAACTTGTTAAATAAGTATTGCTAAAAATCGATGAAAGTGAAATGAACCAAATCCACATCCACATGTCTGGTTACATATAAAAAAAAAAAAAATAGCCAGTTTGCACCTTAAGGTATGTCACTCGTCAGCTTTTTAGAAAAGTTCAGTCAGAAACTTTAACTTCAAAACTATTTATTACAATTCAATTTTTATATCATATTTAAATTAAACAATACAAATTATTCCACATTCAATTAAAAAACTGCTCACAAATTCATAAAGAATCAAGATTTATGAGGGACTATTTTTTGTGGTGGAAGGATATTTAGAAGAAAATTCTTCAAATCTACACTTTTGTTAAAATTATTATCTTGGAAGTTTAGCCATGATATATAGTTTAGATATGTTCAATGTTCAAACTATTTTACGTAAAATAAGATTATATTTATTGCCATAATTACATCTGATAATTAAGGAATAACTGTCTTATTTTTTGGTTTCATGATGTGATCAATCGATTGGCTTGCGTGATAATTTGCATAAACGCCGAAGGCATAAAATTATCACGCAAGCCAATCGATTGATCATCGTCATGAAACCAAAAAATCTGACAGATATTCCTTATATTTACATGCTCTTGATTCTGTAAATTCACGTGCTACAAGCCCCGCTTCTGTCTCTATTTGTCCCGCACGTGATTTTTTTTTCACCACGTCTATCGATGAACCAGTAGATATATGTAGAAATAAAGTAATTTTACTATTTGAAATTTTATCTCGGACAAACACATTGGAAATGTAAATATAATATGATAAAGATTAAAGTTATTAACCTAAGAGTTACAATTCAAGTGCTAAAAGGTCAACTTAATTGTACCGTAGTTCAGTAAAATGCATACTGACCCCCCCCCCCCCATTTACTTTGCGACATTGAGTCATGCTATATGAGTACTTATCTAAAATATACTTTTCAAAAAATCTTGATATAACTAATTTCACAAGTGGCTTACCTTAAACGGTTTTGAAAATTTGTCTATCCATGATGAAAATAAAAATTCAAATTTCTCGAAATATGTGCGATAAATGATTCATTTTATTTCATATTTATTAGAGATTTTATACCGGTCACGGTAGCCTAGTGGTAGGGCGCTCGCTTCGTGATTGGGAGGCCCGGGTTCGATTTTTGTTCGCCGCGCTGGGTCAAACCTAAGACGTAAACATAGGTAGTGACTGTTCCTTCGCAAAGCGCACTTGAAGTGAAAAGTTATGGGTCTTTCGGATATGACCTTAAAAACCGAGGCCCCGTGTCACGGTAGGCGTTGGCACGATAAAGAACCCTCACTGCTCAATGCCCCTGAGTGCCGAGAATAGGTTTAAATTTGAAGCCCTTCACTGGCATACGGCGACGTCTCTATATGAGTGAAAAATTCTCGAATGGGATATTAAACAACAAATAATCAATCAATCAATCAATAAAGAATTTATGCGTATTTTTACCAAAAGTTTTGTATGAAATCCAAATCACTTTTTACAATATCTTAATAAAACTAGCTCTTTTCATACACTTCAATTTAAAATTCAAGGTGCAATTAACTGGATAGTAATCAAAATTTTGAAGTCGTATGTGGAATATCTTTGTTATAACCCCCCCTCCCCCGCTTGAAAAGCGGGGGTGTATAGTGATGGGGGTGTCCGTCCGTCTGTCTGAACGTCCGTCCGTCTGTTACGCTTTGGGGTACAAATCTCTTAATCTGCAGATTATACAAATCTTCAATATCGAAGGGACCCCATCTTTTATCCACAACTCCTTATATGCTATTAAATAAAATTTAATGATACTTTCATAGATTGTTACATTGTGCCATTGTGCACCTCCTATTTTACCTTCTGATTGGACACATATTTCGGGTTTCAAATAGCACCACATGGAACACTGCCATTTTTTCCTTTAAAATATTGAGAGTTACCCATCTCTTATCCGAAACTCCTCCTATACCACTGAATATAATTTAATGATACTTTCACAGAATCTTTATTACATAGTGCCATTCTGCTCCATCTATTTTACTTTCTGATCGGACACTTATTTCGGATTTCCCAAAGCAAAACATGGACTTTGCTATCATAAACATATGGGAGGCGGGGTGTATCATTTTGTGAGCTCAATGCTGTAAGTTCCTCTAGTTTTGCATTTATTATACAGTATAGCTTCCAAAAATAGGAGTTTGAGATATACATGTACATGTGCTTCTTGTTTTATTTTAACACCTTCTAAATGATATCATGATTATAATGAAAATGATGAAGATAGTAAACAGTGATCGACCTATATATATATATATATATATATATATATATATATATATATATATATATATATATATATATATATATATAACAATGCAAATTTCTGAACAGGGCAGAAAACATGGACCGCCGAAAATTCCAGAGGAATGATCAGGTGATTAGTAGGAGTATTATTTTTAAAGATCAATCACTGCTCCTTATCGTCACCTTTCTCATCTTGCCTGCAGGGAATACGACATGAACAAATTTGAAGCTACACACCAGGAATATACTTATATTTTTTAGATATCTAATTGTGAACCTATTTCTCTTGAGTAAATTTTATGATTTTTAATATTTTTTTACAATCTCTATATCCGGGGAGCTTGATTTGAGCAGAAATTATTCAATACTTCAAGATTATGTTTTTTCATCAATGTTACTAATGCCATGCTGTTCTTGAGAAGAAGATTTTTAAAGATATTCCCATTTAAGACTAAAATTTACACGATATCAGAAAATTTTCACCATGTGGATATGTGGTTTCCAAGAAGACTTTTAATTGACCACACTATAGTTTCTAAATTATCTCTTTTTTAGGAAAAGACATGATTTTTAGTCTGCACGAACTTAAATCCCCTCTACCAAAGGATGCTTTGTGAAAAAAGTTATGTTGAATTTAGGCCAATTTTAGAGAAGTTGTTGAAAACATGCAACAAGCTTTCAGAGAAAACAACACAGACAGATGTGCAGATGACGGTTGCCAGACACTTGGATCAGAGAGACTGAAACATATCTTGAAAAACCTAATAGAGTGCATACATGTTTCTTGCTTTTATTAATTCATTCAACTGTAAAGTTGCACTTGAAATGGAACGAATAGTTTACTTTATGTCTATTTATTTTTCAAAAATGTTGTGATATAACCTTTCGAAGAAAATTACACTTGACCTGTTTTTGAACTTTTTATTGAAAGAGTGATGATTTTGAAAATTGTAATATATAAAAAGTCCGATAAATGGGAAAAAGAGAAATTCAACGTGCTTAATATGTAACTTTTAAAAATCTTTGGAGGGGAAATTGCATCATGAACCATATCACCTTACAAGAAATTAAAGACATTGAAGTAATGATATATACAGTGATTTGAATTTCTGACTAAAATTCATATAAAGATTTCCTACTGCTTCAATAAAAATAAAAGAGTTTTATTTTAAAAAGAAGGTCATCATGACAATAAAGTAGCATATGTACACATATTTCATTCAGAACTTATAATTATAAAACAATTATACACTTTTGATATATATACAAAAAATCCACAAACAATTTTACATATAATGACACATCGTCATTAACAATCTTTTTGTCATTTTTTTGTAAATTAAAATAAGAGTTATATTAATATATTATTTACACATATATAGAATATCAATATATACACATTGAAGCTTCAAACAATTACATTTTCATACTCATTTCAAAATCCTCTATTAAAGATCAGTGCTAACTACACCATAGCAAATACATGTATGTACAAACAAAACATAGCAATTTTAATAAACTTCGATATTTTAAGTAAACAAATAAAAATTAAACAAACCCAAGAATACTTTTTTCACAAGGCACACAGAACTGAAAAAATTAATTTGTAATAGATTAAAAAGATTATAAAAATATCTGAGAAGCAGCAATAAAGGAAATTATTTACATAAACATCATAATCATCACAATTTTAGCAATCAGCACTAAATCTCCTCACCAACCTTCAAAACAAAAAATCAATGTAATTGGAGACGCCTGAAATCCTTTCTTGTACACATGCTTGAATTTTATCCACAATTGGGGTTCATCCCGTCCACTATAGGAAAGGGGGCTGGTAGATTGTGGTGAGTGACTGCATGTACGATTGCATCATGCAGGAATGCATACTGCATCTAATCGGAGAAAATTAAAAAAACAGCATGAATGATAGACTATACATTAATCACAGTATTGTTAAATTCAACTTGAAAGAAGAAATTTGTGTACATCTGTCTGGATTGAGAACGCCCTCTGTTGACGTAGCTTAGAGACGCAATTGATGACGTCAATGCTGTCCATTGCCGCTGCTTCCTTCAGAAGTGAGTCGAGAGCGATGAATGTTCCCGTGCGACCAATCCCAGCGCTGTTAAGAAGTTAAATAGGTTCAAACATAATTAGATAAGCTTTCACATAATTAGATAAGTTCTGAAAATAACTAGAAAAGATAAAACATAATCAGATATGATAAAACATAATTAGAAATGTTAAAGCATAATAAGATAAGATAAACATAATTAGAACAGATAAAACACAATTAGATAAGTTAAAACACAATGAGATAAGTTAAAACATAATTAGATAAGATAAAGCATAATTAGATAAGATAAAGTACGATTTCATAAAACATAATAGGATAAAATAAAACATAATAATATAAGATAAACATAATCAAGATGCCCAAGGGCCTTAACGGTCACCTTAGTATAATACAATTAAGAGGATCCATAGATATGAAATAAACTGACAGAAGAAGCTTTGTTGCCCAAAAGCAAGAGAAACAGGATGATCAGTATCAATGAAACAATTAGTCTGGTATTCAGTAACAACACATAAATTAAGTTCTAATCTGTCCCCCATTTATCACTATCACTATCACCATGCAGACTATTAACAAAATTTAAGTGCTTCTGTATTATTTTTACCCCCAAATTGTAACCTCTCACATTGGCCTCTCTTGGTCTTTGAAGAACATTAAATAAGTTATTTTTGTTCCATTTTTATTTATCTATTACTTACAAGTCTATCTGATCATTAAAACTATGAAAGTATTTTTTGTATTATACAATAGTTTTTTGTTTTTTGTTTGTTTGTTTGTTTGTTTGATTGTTGTTGTTTTTTTTTTTTTTTTTTGGTTATGTTTGTTTGTTTGTTGTTGTTTTTTTTTTTTGCAAAATTCTCTTATTCTATTAACTTTTTAAATAAATTACTATTAGTGACTAATTATCAAAAGTGAATTGCAAAAAGGAATAACTTTTCTCAGTAGAATTTACATGTATCATATTAGAGCTCTGACCAGGACCAGAACACTTGACCAAATGGTCCAGATGTTTAAAAATCTGGTAAAAATATCCTTGCTTATTAAAACTTTTACTCTGTTTTCCTTCGATATGCCAAGAAGCAGAGAAGATTTTCAAGAAATAATGCATTTTCACTACAGATTCAACACAGTCCTAACATAACACCCAAATCCATGACCCAGGGTAATCAATTTCACAAATAAGGAAGAGGTATCCTCACCATCATAACTCTGCAATCAGTTGAAGATTTTCAAGAATTAACACATTTTTACTGCATTATCAATAGACCCCCCCCCCCCATGAGAAAAACAAAAACCCCTCACCCTGGAATAAGGAAGATGTATCCTCACCATCATAACTCTGCACTCAGTTGAAGATTTTCAAGAATTAACACATTTTCACTGCATTATCAATAGACCCCCCCTCCCATGAGAAAAACAAAAACCCCTCGCCCTGGGACAACCAAGTTTTAAAAATATCCTAAGAAGCACAATTGTTCATCATAACTATGCACTTTGTTTATCTGCTCAGCACTAAGGAGCATATAAGATTATTTAACAAAATTAATGCATTTTCACTACATGATTAATACAGACCCGTCCTGACACCAGAACCCATGGCCCAGATGGGGCCATTAAATTCACAGTTTTGTTAGAGGCATTCTTGCTCATCATAACTATGTACTTAGTTAGTTTATTTGATACCCAGGAGCAGAGGAGAAGATTTTTAAAGAATTAATGCATTTTCACTATATAATCAATAGAGCCCCGCCCTAACTCCAGAACCCCTGATCCTGGGGGCATGAATTTCACAATTTTGGTTAAGGGTTCTATACTTATTCTAATCATGCCAACAGATTGACTGCTTAATGTCCAGGAGTGAAGAAAAAAGATTTTTAAAGATTGCATAATTCTGGTGGTTTTAGCCCCACCCCTCAGGCCCCAGGGGGCAGGGATTATGAAATTTACAATTTTTGTTCCCTTTCACCTATAGATGCTATATGCCAAAATTGGTTCAGCGGTTTCAGAGAAGAAGATGAAAATGTTCAAATGTTAACGGACGACGCACAACGCACGACGACAGACAAAAAACTGATAGCAATAGGTAACCTGAGTGACTCAGGTGACCTAAAAATAAAACATAAATAGATAATTAAAAAAATAAAAGATTAGAAAATTTAATTAGATAAGTTGAAACAGACTTAATTTAACTTGTTCAGAAGATTTACCTGCAGTGGACTACAATTGGTCCCTCCTCAGGCAGGATACCGTGAATGATGAGGTTTCGGAATTCCAGTAACGTTTCGATGTCGTCTGGAACTCGGCAATCAGGCCAAGCAGTGAAGTGATACTGGGTGACTCGTTTTTTCTCACCTCCCTACACAAATAAAGAATAAATCTCATAACCTAATCAAAATTTATATCTTACATATAATGATACTGAAAATAAATGCTATAATCCCGAGCTTCTGGTGTAAATTGTATCCCAAATAAAAGCCTTCACTAATTAATTCAAACTTCAATACATTTTGTCCATGATTAAAAAAGCTCTGACGCCATCGTACTGTCTATGTTACGGGGTCGAGACGAGTTATATCTATCTCTAACTGAAAAATGACTTTATTCCTGACAGTCAATTTTTAAATTCCTTCAAGAGGAATTTGGTTCAATCAATATTACAGGTACTCAGTTCGAATGAATAAAAAAAAATTATAAGCATTATGAGATTCCAGAATTTTAAAGCTACTTTTTCAACGATGATCCGTCTGATGATGTACTGCTCAAAGACGTCCTGGGATTCTGCCCTAACCAGGAAAGGTCCAAAGTGCATGTCTTCTGCTTCCGGCCAGTACTGCAAACACTTCATCTGTAATTGTAAAAACAATACAGCGATAATAAACGTACAAATACAAAAATTTAATTAGATCTTACACATTTTTAATATGTTATCGTTTTCTTTTACTGTGTTTTAAAAAAAATTGAGCTGAAATAAATTAAAACTATATTTATGTAACGAACTCGATCTCCTTCAAATAGATTTGTCAGCATGACGATCCGGGCGCATCGGTTCTGCCAGATAAGCCGCCAAAAATCCAATAGAGTTTCATTGGTAAAGGGACCTGAAAGATAGAAAAACGACAACTTTAATATCAAGGGACAACTACTGTCAGTTTGGAAAGGTAATATCTTTTCAGAATAAAAATATGAGCTAATATAGTTTTATATATTAACATGTACTCCTTCAAAATACTAGTGCCTCATGCTTCTTTTAAAAAGCCTGTTAGTTATGGAAAGAAAATTAACTGATATCTGAAGTGATATTGCCCGTAACTTTGCATATATTTCGATAGAGAAACATAATAGGAAAGCGAAAGTTTTTTTTTTAATATTTTAAGAGAGTTGATGGCGACTTTGATAATCACAAGCTTAAAAACAGCTGATCTCAAGAGAAGAAAAGAAATATTATAATAAAAACAAGTTAAAGCAATTTGTCAATTTCGAGACCTTAAGTTTAATACAGAATGAAAACATTGTGTGACCATGAGTAGAACAAGGTTCACACAAGGAGACCTGAAGTTTAATACAGAATTAAAATATTGTGTGACCAGGAGTAAAACAAGGTTCACACAACGAGACCTCAAGTTAAATTCAGAATCGAACATTGTGAGGTCACGAGTAGAACAAGTTTTACACAAGGAGACCTCAAGTTTAATACAGAATCAAAATATCGTGTGGTCACGGGTAAAATAAGGTTCACACAACGAGACCTCTAATCAAATAGAGAATCAAAATAGTGTGTGGCCACGAGTAGAACGACGTTCACACAACGAGACCTCAAGTTTTATATAGAATAAAATATTGTGTGGTTACGCATACAAGGTTCACACAACGAGACCTCAAGTAAAATACAGAATGAAAACATTGTGAGACCACGAGTAGAACAAGGTTCACACGACGAGACCTCTAGTTAAATACAGAATCAAAATATTGAGGGTCACAAGCAGAACAAGGTTCACACAACGAGACCTCTAATTAAATACAGAATTAAAGCAGTGTGTGGCCAAGAGTTTTTCACGAGTGGAACAGGATTTACATCAATAAATCTGGTATAAATAGAATTTACGAGAGATTTTCTGCGATAAAAAGCGTGGTTGCTCAATAAGTTTCATGGATTTGTTTTTAAAAAATGGTAACGTCTGGTCATTGCAGCTAATCCGTTGATAAATATTCATGAAATATTTTTGTTTACCATTGTACTTGTAGAGTGTTTTATATCTTCATGAAAATATGCAGAAATTTTGAGAATTCTCTGGAAATTGTCATTTTAACAGCCTTGGACCATATTTGTCACTAATATCTATCACATACAACATGGCACAACAGTACACAAAAACAATATCACTTTAAAGAAGATGTCATTTGTAAAAAAAAAAAATATATATATATATATATATATATATATATATATATATATATATATATATATATATATATATATATATATATATATATATATATATATTAAGTGGTTGGTGTATAATATTTTATTTTACTCTCATACAATGGTATAAAGAAATATTTTTTATGAGGATAAGCAAATTTCAGAGAAAAATCAGGGTTAACAGGTAAGTTTATAAATGATAGTTAATATAAAATCGAAACCTAAGAAAGTTAGTGGCAGTTAGATCGATTGGAGAATAATAAATTTTAAGTTTGTTTGATGTGGTCTTTAAGTGGTAAGAAATGGTTGTGTTTTATAAAATGTTGAGTACTTAAAAATCGGATAAGTTTATATATTGTATTGTTGAAAAAAAATAAAGGGGGAAAATATTGTAGTGAATAGTTTGTATTGTAGCAAAAACTAAATTTTATGGAACAATTACATTTTTTTCGTGTTTTATGCTATGTGTACAGATTTGAAATGTTTTTGAATTTTTTTTAGATCGATCACTGTTTGTTATCTCTACCTTTTTCATCTGTAAAAATGACCTCTGAAGTAAGGTTTGTTTCATAATGAAATTTTAATTTACGAGGGCTGTTCGGAAATTATCAAGAGATTATGATCATCCTTCTTTCTGATTAATGTTTTTTTCGGTGAAAATTATATATATGTTTAACATACACTAACAATACATAAACCCAAGAGATATTTAAGAAATATTTTATTTTTTCTTTTAAATGAATTATAAATGTGTCGATGGTAGGAGTAGCCGGCGCTGTCTCGAAAAAAAGTGTTGGAAGTCAATAACTATGATTTTATTATTTACTCTGGATTTTGATAGAAAAGGAAAAACGAAAATGATGTCTGTTACTATCTGCACCTTTATATAATTTTAAAACAATGATAAAAAAAATGAAGAAGGAAAGTATCATCAAACAAGAGAACTATATCTTATCAAAAAGATTTACACTTAATTTCATGCAATGAATTGATTATTTATATGTGTAACAATGTACTTTACAATGAAAATTATTTTATTTGATTAATTGATGTACTTCAAAAATACTGTCACGAAATTGTTCGTTGTACTTGTACTTGATGTTTAAATACTGTAACAGCTGTTTGTTAGCATTGTGTATAATTGCGCTATTTCCGTTTATATTTTTAAAATCTTTTTTTATTTCTTCCTCTTCTAATAAAAATATAATAACATGTGGTTTTGAGGAACCTACTACTATTTATTCTAGAACAAGACAAGAAAACTTGGATAAAATTTATAGTTTTATTGAAAGTATGCATTCTGTTACCTTGAGCAGCAATGTATTCTTTATCGTGGTTAAAGCCCTTTTTGCAAAACAAATATAATAATAAGCTTTAATGCAAAGAAAACTGTTCATTTTTTAAATGGAATTATCTTTATCTTAAAGTTAGTACTAGTTTAAGGTTTTTTTTCTGTTTTTTTTTTTTAAAATAACCGGTCCTGAAATGATTTTGTGCAATGATGATCTAACATTTGTTATCGTTATCATTAGCGAAATATTTCCTGTTTACAATTAAATAAACATTTGGATGAGAGCACAATAAGGAACTTTTCTGGTAACAAGTACTCACGTGTACGAAACAGGCATTCGCATAGTCAGTACTTCCGGTATTGTCGTTTGTATCCAGAATAACACGGCAATAGTCATCTTCAAAAGAGAACATATATTGCTCTTATTAATTAGGGAATGTTTTCAATATTTGTAACTAAGAGGAAGGTTAATTTTAAGAGGAAGTTTTAATTTTAATAACATTCACCAAAAGATGTTGTGAACTTAGAAATTTTCAGATTTACTCTCTATTATTCAGATAAAATGACTACCGGTAGATAAAAATAACGAGGCATGAGACTCTTGTAAATTCGTTCAGTTTTCAAAATTCTCAAATAGAGGGGTTTGCTCCTTGATTGATATTCATAACCGGTAAGTCATATCGTAATGAAGCAAATGACCAAACAGGTCTACAACATTTCCACATTAAAAATAGATGATGCGTAGTAAAACTGTCATCCTAACATTTGAGTTTCGCAAATAAAGATTTAAATTATGATGAGAAAACTTACATGGGTAAACTTTTTTGTATCTATTTCTGGATTTGTTTTCCTTTTTCAGTGCTGCTGAGTGAAGTTCTAATAAACCATTCGGAATTTCCTAAATAAGTTGCATTTCAAAATTTAACGATTTTAAAACCTTTATTATGTAGTTAGATCAATAAATTTAGTTTTTGCAGATTCTTACTTTAAATTCTTCACGGAATGCATCCTTGTCTCGCTTTTCATCTACCTCCCTGATGAACTGTTCGAGTGATACTCGATACGACTTGAGATTGCAGTATTCTACCACGACTTCCGGTGTCTCGTCTTGTTGAGGGGCGACGCTATGATCAATTTCCTCCAGTACAATGGTGACACGATCATCAATCAATGGTGCCTGGGTCTCGGAAACCGTTAACACAGGGTTTACATATCTAACCACAGAGGCGCTTTTCTGTCGACATTTCATGCATCTAAAAATAAGAAATAGTCTATTTAGAATCAGAAAATGATGTTGTCCATCTAATATGTCATATGATAAATAAAGTATATGTATCAACCCATTTTATTTTTGTAGACAAAGCGATTGGGCAAATTCTGAATTGTACGAGGGTCATTTAAAAAATATGTAGACTTTTGTTATAACTTTTTATTAACTTATATAATTATTATCATATGGTCATATTATGACCAAATTTGGTAAACATATTTTATCAATAAATCTAAAGAATTTGAATGTAAAAAATTTAAATATATCATGATGAAATTCAAAATTATATAAAAAATTACAACCATAAAAAAGGAGTCACGGAGTCAGAATTTATCAATTTACTAACAATAAATCATATGATGTATATTGTCATATCTCTGTAAAATGGCGCGAAAAGAAATGAAATTTAAATGTTGCAATTGTAACTCTGAAAATGCTAGAGGAAGCATAAAATTTATCAAAAATAAACCGTGCATTTCTGTTTCAATGGTTAAAGCAGTTTTTGATTGAAAGAGACCCTGTATCGTACAACAGACGACCTAAGAGGAAACGGATTATCAGTAAAAATCTGGTCAGAAGATTTATAGTAACGCCATAGAGAGCAATGGTCGCTTTACTATAGCGCAATTTTTAAAAGCAGAGCTACGAGATAAAAAATTTTGAAAATATGGACGAACTAACTTATGCTACTTAATCAGTTATTTACAGACAAGGTGTAAAGTGGTATGGAAATGTTTTCTTAAGTGGGTAAAGCGCCATAGACTGTGTATGAAGTGAAGAGAAGTATTTTTGAGAAACTATCAGGACATTATGTGTTTGCCATTACAGTGATGCTAAACGTGCTCTGTGTTCAAAAAACCTGTTTTTAATGTTTAGTACTAGTAACATGTGTTCCTTTTGATCAAAATGAATGAAATTTCACACATGACAAAATAAATGTTTTTACAGATGAGATGTTGGTCTTGAGTTTCTAAAAAAAAAAATCATATGATGAAGAGCTACATTATCTTCGTATTTTTGAATGACCCTCGTGCGTTATATTTAGCATGTTCTTAGACTGATTTATTTGCCTTAAATGAAGAATGGAAAGTTTCATGACTAAATTTCATGATGACATGACTTAACAAGACTAACCTTCTGATAAATAGAATGATGAGAATCAACAGCAGAATGATAATGGCAAACAAAGCCGCCAGGAGCATTGGGTCCGGATCCTCCTCATCACGATTACTATCTATCAAACAAATTGTTTTAAAAAGTGACATCAGGAATATTTAGTCGCCGTTGCTTAAATATGACAATTAAGAGGATATGCTCTTTAAAATATAGCAAATTTGTTTTAGTTTTATAGGCATGTAACGTAGAGTGCTGCGTTATTTACACTAAAACAGCTTAATTTGTCAATGTGTTTGTTTGAAATTTCCAGCTGCAGACATGCAAATTAAACAAATTGTCATGGATCTGTGTAGCATGTGTTAGTACATCTTTAAAATTTATTTCAAATAGATGTTTGCTTGATATGTTACGCAGAAGTATGCGTATGTAATAAATTTGACTTTTCTTCATCTTATAAAGTTGTATTTCTTAGGAAAGGCATACAGGAGCGGCTACCTTGACCATCCATATTCCTTTGATCTGTAAAATTAATCAACACGAAGTCTGTTAAATATATAGACTACATAAGCCAACAAAGATTTACCATTTTTCACCAATTGATAAATAAATGTATAGCGCATTTTTACTGATGAAAAGTAATAAATGATAAACAAGCCTTATACATGTAGAGTTTAAATCACAGTCTGTTCGTTTTCTCTGAAACGTAATCGTTCCTGCTTATGTAGTCTAGCCAAGCTACGAGCTGTTCAATTAACCACACAAAAAAGAAGAAACAACCTTTAAAAAAATAACAAAAATCATATCATGACTTACATTTTTTTCTTACTTGTTTATTTGAATCATGTAATCCGACATAAAGAGGACCGCAATAGCTCCAACTTGATGGAAATAACAGACAAGGAAGGATTGCCTTTTCCAATACATCGTGGAAACAGGAAGTGAGATATATAAACTCTGTAAATAAATTTCCTGTATACTATACATTAGTAATGTATTGAGATTTAAATTGTAGTGTTTGTTTGCACTTAAAATATGGATATTTGAGTAATTATTTTCTGTTGCAAAGGTACCTTTTCTAACGAATATAAAAGTGACTGGGACTTAAATTCCCTGCTTTCTGCATTTCAGAACAAGATGTGTTTGTGAAACACTGATGCCCCCGTATGGCAACTTATAGCAAAGGTTAAACTTTCTCAAATGCAAATCAAATATGTTGGTACCCAAAGTAAGGTCTTGTCTCGAGAATATACCTGTGAAATATGCAAGCCCTAGCAGCAATCTTTGAATAGATATGGAAAAAGTTGAAGTTTTTTCAAAAGTGAGTCAAACATCAAGGTCAGGGTCAAGTGGTCAAAATTAATGGTGCCCAAGAAAGGGCCTTCTCACAAGAAATACCCATGTGAAATATGAAAGCTTAGCACAAATATCGTTCAAAAGTTATGGCCAAGGTTAAAGTTTTTTTTCAAAAGTAGGTCAAACTCCAAGGTCAAGGTCAATGGATTACAATTGTTGAAATCCAAAGGAAGGACTTGTCACAAAGAAAAGACATCTTAAATATGAAAGCTCTTACACCAACTGTTAAAAAGTTATGGCCAAGGTTAAACTTTTCCAAAAGTAGGTCAAACTCAAGGTCAAAGGGTCAAAGTTGTTGGTATCCAAGGGAAGGTCTTGTCACTAGTATTACTTATTTAAAATATGAAAGCCCTAGCACCAAGCGTTCTTAAGTTATGGCCAAGGTTAATGTTGGGTAAAATTTTGCCAAACTTGGTCAAACTCCAAGGCTAGGGTCAAAAGGTCAAATATGTTGGTACCCAAAGAAAGGTCTTTTCACAAGAAATACATATGTGAAAAATGAATGCCATAGTTTTAACCAATCAAAATTTTTTGGCGATGTTAAAGTTTTTGCGGACAAACAGCTAAACAGACAGACAGACGGAAGGACAGGGCAAAAACTATATACCCCTGAATCTTCGATACGGGGGCATAATAATTACGTCATTAGAAAGGTCAAGGTTGTAAGATTTCTATGTGATTAACAAAATTAGAATGATATCCTCAGTGAAAAAATATGTAAATGTATCCCTTATTCAAGATATAATCTCTGTGAAGAAAATTGGAAAGTCGTGTTGTAAGGTCAAGGTCACAAAACTCGGTCAGCTTTGACGTATTTTCACAAAGTGGTATATCTGTGTGCAATGACTTGTATAACGTAATCCTTTGTAGTTTTGTACAAAATCAGCTTAACAAAATACATGAGGTAGAGAGCATTTTTTGTGTTATCTGCTGGACACGTCTTATTATAAAAATATAGCCTGATGTGTCTCTGGAAGGTGCATGAGGGTAAAAAGTACTTTTTTTACTTCGATTTTTGAAAATAAGTTTATTCGTATATTGGAATCTGAAATTCCTTACAACAAATGTGTACATATATTGAATGGTTTAGTATTATCATCAAAATATTTAATGTATTATGATTATTTCCTCAATCGATTTGATTACAGGGACTGTCTGAATGTTTAATTAAACCCAGACACATTATACTGAGTACTCTAATCTCTGGAATACATGTTAGAACAATTCCTTGCACATAATATAAGTTGTATAAATTTAACTGAATAAAGCATACATCACACTGTAGTTGTACGAGATGCCTAGAAAGCTAGCTGACGCCTGATTCGCCCTAGAGCGGAGATTTTATCTCAAGGATCGATACCCAGATAACCCACAGAATCTACCATATTAGAAAGATTAAATTCACAATCAGAATTCTTAAGCAACAGCTCAAGTCCGATCATTTCTAGTACTATCTCACTACAGTGACTCATGTATTCTGCATAATAAAAACGAAACAAGAAAGTTAACCTTTGAAATAATTGATCAAGAGTGTAAGATAGGTGCAATGATAAATGATAAGTTTATATATATTTCACCTACTTAGTAAGCACGATAAAAACCTCGTCATGAAAACAAAATACTGTATACAGAAAAAAAAACAGGACAGGTGATCCTGAAGCAATTTTAGACTAATGGCAGAATTTAAATATACCTTAAAGTTTTAACACAGAAAGCACATACAATTTGAATGTGACTACAAATTGTTTCTCTTTCATGTTGTTAATCTTAATTTTTCAAGTGTTACTTGATAATTAATATTCATTTAATGAATGGCTGGAATTTTTACTTAGGTCTGACTGTTTCATGATCCTGGGAACAGGTCCCGGAATCATGAATTAGTCTTAGACCTAAGAAAGTACGCTCTTGAGCATTTAGATTCCAAAGTTACATGATTAATATTTTTAAAAGTGTGTGTTTGATATTTATCTTCATATTCATGAAAAAAATTGTGTGTATACAACCTAACATAATGTTATTAAAAGACAGAAAGCCAAAGGCATTTAAAGGAAGTTAACGTTTTCTTGGGAACTTTTTTTTTCTTGCGAAAGGATTTCATACTAAAAATGCCTACGATTGTCTTAATCCTATAGTGGATGGTGGCTTTTAATTAAGAACCCGCATGTCATGCACGTAAAGCTATTTATCAGATTTCAGACAAACAGTAGAGACTTAAATCTTATTAATAAGTCATTCTATGTTTTATAATAATACTACGGAAGCGTATTAGTGTCACGTAATATTGTCTTTAAAATTGGCTTTTCCAACTTTAAAGTTGATAATTCCAACTTTAATCTTGGCTTTTTCAACTTCAAAGTTGGCTTTTCCAACATCATATTTGGTAATTCCAACTTTAAATTGGGCTTTTCCAACTTTAAAGTTGGCATTCCAACATTAATATTGGGAAAGCCAAGATTAAAGTTGGAATTACTAACGCTTTCCAACTTTTAAGCTGGCTTTTTTCCAAATTTATAGTTGGTAAGTCCAACTTTAAAGTTGGTAATTATAACTTTAATCTTGGCTTTTCCAACTTTAATATTGGTAATTCCAACTTTAATCTTGGCTTTTCCAACATTAAAGTTGGCTTTTTCAACTTTAATCTTGGTTTCTTCAACTTTAAAGTTGGTAATTCCAACTTTAAAGTTGGTAATTCCAACCTTAAAGTTGGCTTTTCCAACTTTAATCTTGACTTTTACAAATTTAAAGTTACTTTAAAATTGGCTTTTTCATCTTCAAAGTTGGTAATTCCAACTTTAATCTTGGCTTTCCAACTTTTAGTTGAGATTTTCTAGCCCTTTTCCTTAACTTTTTCCTCTTATTTTTAAATTATTACTAACGTTATTTACGCAAAATTAATTCACTGAAGTAATTTGGTGAGCAATTGATCTGTGTCAATTATTATTTTCTACCTTGACCTTCCTTATGACTTACTTATAACTTCCAACTTTTGATTAAAAACTCTTATATTTCTTTTGGTCCATCTTATATAATTTTATAAAGAATAACTTTATATATGCAACTCCGTACATGACAGGATTTCAACCAAACCTATTTTAGAGATCAGACATATATTTTGTTTTGTATGAGAGAATAAGCTTAAACGAATGAGACCATTATTAGGTGTTTGATATATAGGATGAATCAACACTACATGTATATAACGTGCTAAAAAACATAACTGAATGTATCAATTCTGTATATGAAAACACATTGAAATAATTCCTTCTTTCGTCATAATTTCATAAGTAAATCGTTTCTTTCCAATGTAATTACATGTTTAAAACGGCAACACGAGTCCAAGTACAAAGTATCTGAATATGAAGCATAAAGCCGTACAAAGATGGAAAAGCCAAGATTTAAGTTGGAATTACCAACTTTTAAGTTGGAAGAGCAAACATTAAAGTTGGAAAAGCCAAGACTAAAGAGTTGGAATTTCCAACTTTAAATTAAAGTTGAAAAAGCGAAGATAAAAGTTGGAATTACCAACTTTAAAGTCGAAAAGCCAACTTCAAAGTTGGAAAAGCCAAGATTAAAGTTGGATTTTAGAAGTTGGAAAAGCCAACTTTAAAGTTGGAATTATCAACTTTAAAAAAAATATTACGTGTCACTACTACGCTTCCGTATAATACACGTTTACATTCTTAAAAAATAATTCATTTTTTGTTTAAGTTTTTATTTATAAAAATTTTATTTTAAAAATGAAATGTGATCCGATGATTTTGTTTTAGATATACAAAACAGATCTAGAAGAAAAACGATAATATTCATGCAAACATTTTTTTTAATGACACTACTCCTTTTTGATTTTTAGAAACCTATACTTTGTTAAAGTTAAATTTCTTATCTTTTAAGAGCAAAAAGGCCAAGGATCATATTTTAGACTTCGGGGATTGTGTTTTATTTTACTAAAACTATTAATATTTTCCTAGACTAATTATTTACATCTGTCATGTTTATAGTACTTTTTTAAACATCATTAGTTTCAATCAATATTTCAAACTTTTAAGAGTAAAAAGGTCAATATTAACTGGTTCTCACTTAGAAGCAAGACCCTCATTTGTCTTCAGTATCTTTATATTTAATCATTGTAAATATTAAAAATATATGTCATGAAAAATTGACATTACAGTACTTAAAGGTGCATACATCTCTAAGTCAGTATTTCCGTAATTCATAAAATGAATATTTCTTTTAAACTGATACTTTAAAATTTAAATTTAGAACATGAAAGGGAGAAAATTTCGAATAACATTTCATAGATTTAATGTGTTTTTTTTATATAAAAATTTCAGATAATGTACAAATTCTGACTTAATTCTAAAACTGTTTCATGATCCTGGTGCCTCGTCTTTCAAAAATCTACCGAAAGCTTCAGTGAAAGTGTTCTTGTCAAATAATTTTTTTTCTCCATAAAGTGACTTTTTATAAAAAGGAGGATCTTAGTGATCAT